CTTTTCCCATCTCTTTACTTTCAGCCTGTGTGTCTTTAGATCTGAAGTGAGTCTCTTGTAGGCAGCATATGTAAGGGTCTTGTTTTTTCTATCCATTCAGCCTAGGCTTCTATGTCTTTTTACTGGAGCATTTAATCCATTTACATTTAAAGTTATTTTTGATAGATACATAGTTTGACCATTTTATTATTCATATTTTTAATCTTTTTTTGCTTGTTTGTTTTCAAGTTCTTTTAAGATTTCTTGCAATACTGGTTTGAATTCCTTTAGCTTTTTCTTGGCTGGGAAGCTCTTTATCTGTCCTTTGAGTCTAAATGATAACTTTGCTTGGTAGAGTAATCTTAGTTGTAGGTCCTTGCTTTTCATCACTTTGAATATTTCCTGCCAATCCCTTCTGCTGCAAAGTTTCTGTTGAGAAATCAGCTGACAGTCTTGTGAGAGCTCCCTGGTAGGTAACTAGCTTTTCTCTTGCTGCTTTTAAGATTCTCTTTTTGTCTTTAACCTTTGGCATTTTAATGATGACGTGTCTTGGTATGGGCCTGTTTGAGGTCATCTTGTTTGGGATTCTCTGTACTTCCTGGGCTTGTATATTTATTTCCTTCACCAGGTTAAGGAAGTTTTCCATCATTATTTCCTCAAATAGGTTTCCAATTCCTTTCTCTTTTCTCCTTCTGGTACCCCTATGATGGGAATGTTGGTATGCTTGGTATTGTTCCAGAGGCTTCTTAAGCTATCCTCATTTTTTTGGATTCTTTTTTCTTTTTGCTGTTCTGTTTAAGTGTTTTCATCTGCCTTGTCTTCTAAATCTCTGATTCGAACCTCTGCTTTATCTAATCGGTTGATTCCCTTTACCATATTATTCATTTTAGTGATTGTGATTTTATTTCTCACTGGTTCGTTTTTATGTTGTATATCTCCATTTTTACTTTTCCTATCTCTTTCTTGAAGTTCTCCCTGAGTTCACTGAGTATCCTTATAACCAGTGTTTTGAACTCTGGGTCTGGTAGATTGCATGTCTCCATTTTGTTTAGTTCTGTTCCTGGAGCTTTGTTCTCTTCTTTCATTTGGGACATGTTTCTTTGTCTCCCCATTTTGGCTGCCCCCCTGTGTTTGTTTCTGTGTATCAGGTGGAGCTGCTACATCTCCTGGTCTTAGTAGTAGTTGTCTTGTGGGGCCTAGTGGTGCAGTCTCCCTGGTCACCTGAGCTGGATGTTCCAGGAGTGTCCCTCATGTGGGTTGTGTGTGCCCTCCTGTTGTAGTTGAGCTTTGGTTGCTGTTTGCACATCAGTGAGTGGGATTTATCCTCAAGCTGATTGGTTATGAAGACTGGCCATGATTACTGTGGAGAAGCAGTGGTGCAGAGGCTGACCCTGCAGAGCAGGATTTGATTTAGCAGGGCACTGGTTTTGGTGTGTTGTCCCCAGAGGTGACCTGGTGATGCTCTGACTGGGTCTGAAGCTGGCCACCAGGTGTGCTAGTCCTAGGGCCTCCTGTGAGGAGTCCCACTGCAGGCCAAGTTCAGCCACAGCCTGTGACCTGTTGGGGTCACCTGGCATGAGCTACAAAGCAGTCTTCAGATGGCTGCCACCTGCACTGGGCTTGAAGGTGCCTTGAGAAGCCAAGCTGCTAACTGAGGCTAGCTGGTACTAGTGCCGGGCTTAGGGCTGCTCAGCCAGAGGTATGGGACATGCCAAAGCCAGATGCTGATTGTTTGGGTTTTGTGAACCTTTGAGAGATTTCAGGAAAGTCTGCAGCATGAGCCAAGACAGGAAAAGCCACTGGAAGCGGCTTGGGTGGGCCCAAAACTTGGGTTGGGTGGGGTCTCAGGGAATCAGGGCTAATAAACAGTGTTAGCCAGATTGATGGATACTCAGATATGGCGGCCGCCTGCACCTGCACACTGGGAGGGCTCGACAAAGAAACAGTGACTTCTGCCAGCTCCTCTGTCCAGGTGAAAGCTGCCCCTCTAGCCCTCGCTTTGAAGCCAGACAGATCATTTCCTCTCTATCTGTCCCTGATGCCTTTTTAGCTGCTGCCTTAGCGCTGGAGCTCAGAGTGAGTCCATCAGTGAGTAAGTCTGTGTGTGGGCCCTTTAAGAGGAGTGCCTGGAAGTGCAGCTGCCCTCTGTCTCTCTCAGCCACAATCTCCACTGGTTTTCACAGCTAGAAGTTATGGGGACATCCCTCCCTGGCACTGAAACCCTGGGCTGGGGAACATGGTGTGGGGTGGGACCCTTCACTCCTGGGGTGCGGGGAACTCTGCAAGCTGAGATACCCTCCTGAGTTTTCATGATCACACGCAGGTGTGGGACCAGCGCATTCCGCGTCTCTGCCCCTCCTATCAGTCTTGGGGTGGATTATTTTGTATGTCCTTAGTTGTAGGGCTTTGGTTCAACTAGACCTCAGGTAATGCTCAGTGATGGTTGTTTTGTAGTTTAGTTGTAGTTTTGATGTGATCGTGACAGGAGGTAAGCACAGCATTTACCATTTACCTACTCCACCATCTTGATCAGATCTTTATAATCAGTCTTTCTGACTCCATCTTCCTTGAGCCTAACCAGTTTCCATAACCTATGACCATTTGTTTTTAAAAGAAATGCTGAAAAACAGCTCCAGTTTTGTCTTTTAATAAAAAGAGCAGTCGGTTATATAAGGACCTTTTTCATTATCATTTAATGAGAGAAGTAGTAAAAATGTTATTTTTCCCCTCCCTGCGTTCATTTTATAATGTCCCACAACTTAGAAAAATCCTTTACAATTTGTTTGTTTCTATTACATTTTCATCACCATTGCTTTTTAAATATCTCTTTAAAATGCTGCCACACAGAGAGTAACTTAAAGAGAAAAGACATTTTTCCTACCTTATAACCTTTCATAAGTCCAGTCTTTTAGAACTTTTGATTGCCAGCCATTTTCTTTTTGGAATTGATGTTGTGAGGGGAACAGATAATAAGGTAATAATAGAGTTTACATTAGAGAATAAGAAAACGTGTAACTGAGAATGAGCCTGTGGATCTTCCGTTTTCACTTCCATGGCTGTAGTTCTATCAGTCTTTACTTTCTACAAAGTAAAGCAGCAATCTATTTGCTAGTGTTTCATCTCCAGTAGCATCTCTACCTGTATGTCTTTTCCACAGCTACTTAAAGAGGTATTTGTATGTCATCATTCCCTTTTGCAGAACAAAATATTGATTATCAGTTAAAATTGTTGATCCTTGGGCCGGCCGAGTGGCTCAGTTGGTTAAGAGTTGGCTTAAGAGNAGAAACTTTTTTTCCTTTTGAATTGAAAGGGTACTTTTCTAATAGTTACAAGGTTTCAGTGAACTTGCAGAGTGAAGTTTAGCATTTCTAGGTTCAGGTCCTGACTTTTCCAATAACATGCAGTATGACTTTAGGGAATTCACTTAACCAGTCTAGGCACCACTTGCCTCATATGTAAAACTAAACAATTTGAATTAGAAATTACTAGAGGACCTTCAATATCCTAATTTTAAAAGATTCTTAAAAAGCTGAAAGAACACTAAATGAAACCATTCCTACCTATACTTGGAATGGTAGGGTGCACTGAGGCTAGTGAACTAAAAGATAATGTGGAAGATGATTTTGAAAAGTTTTCTTTGGTTGAGAGAATTTAAGTTCTCTATTTTGCTGACAGTTCTGGGATTTATAAGCAGTCTCTAGAATTAAACTTAAGGTGGCATTCATAAGTATTCTTCCTTTTCTACTTTTTTTTTCATGTCTTGGAAGTTGGGCATAAACATGTGGATACTTTTCTATTCTAAACCATATTGATTTAGGATGTTCTTAAAAAATACATGTAATTACAGCAGTATATTTAAAAAATAGAGGAAGGTCATGAATTATTGAAACCTATATATGGAAAAATGAATATATTGTATTGGTGGTAGTCTTGCACTAGTTGTGAAATCTCAATATATCATTTTTATGTTTTCTATTATATAATTTTATGTTGTTTACTTAAGTTAAAAAGTATGTTATTGCCAATAGGACTGTGGGTAGTAATCTAAATATTACTAAATTTGTGTCAGGAGAAATGTATGTGTACGTTTGTATATATAATAATATATATTATTGTTCTAGAATCTTGAACAAATTTTACTGAGTATGTTTACTTGTCTGTTTACTTCTCCCTCCACAGGGATTATTCTTGACAGAAGTATTTTAAAAGAAAAATCTTTACAATGGCCTCAGCAGTTCTTAGTTCTGTTCCCACTACTGCTTCTCGTTTTGCCCTGTTGCAAGTGGATAGTGGCAGTGGTTCTGATTCTGAGCCTGGAAAAGGCAAAGGTCGTAATACTGGAAAGTCTCAAACAAGCAAATCAACTACAAATGAGAAAAAGAGAGAGAAAAGAAGAAAAAAGAAGGAGCAGCAACAGAGTGAAGCAAATGAGGTATCCATTATAATTATTTGTGTCTGCTTTCCCAATAGACTAAGCATCATGAGGATGAGCAGGTATTATCTTACTAATCCATGTATCTGTAGTACCTGGTCCATAGATACTTGGTAAATATGATTTGAATGAATGGATGTAAATTTGTGTCTATTTAAAGTCAAATGTAATGAACATTTAAAAAATGCCTTTATATTTTTCTGACTAAGGAAACTTGCATGCTCATTCCAAAAAGTAAGGAATTCTTCTTAAAAGGTAACATAGGTCATTAAAAAATATAACTAGAGATATAACCAATTAATATTTTGGTATGTGTTTTCTGTATATGTATATAAGTTTATGTGAATAGATAGATATGTCTATGCACATATATCTGTATTCATAGTTAAACAAAAATGAGATTATATAATAGACTTCTATACTGGCTTTTTTTCTAATTAGCCATGAGCAATTTTCCACATGAGTAAACAAAGATCTACATTATTTTGAATGATTCCACATTATTTAATTATATGGCTATATTATACTTTAATTAAACCCTTGTGATAAACATTTATTAAAATATAGCTAACATACAATATTATGTTAGTTTCAGGTATACACAATAGTTAGTCAACATTTATATACCTAAAAAAGTGAGCACCATGATAAGTGCAGCAACCATGTGACACTGTGCCCCGCTATCACAATATTATTGACTATTCCCCATGCTGTACATTACATCGCCACGACTTATTTGTTTTATACCCGGAAATTTGAACCTCTTCTTCCCCTTTACCTCCCCCCACTTTTTTCAATTATAGTTGACATTCAGTATTATTTTATATTAATTTCAGTGTACAGCATAATAGTTAGACATTTATATAATTTAAGAAATGGTCCCTGTGACTAGTCTAGTACCCACCTGACACTACACATAGTTATCACTATATTATTGACTATATTCCCTTTGCTTTAGTTTACACCCCATTGACTATTTTGTAACTAGCAATTTGTACTTCCCTTTTCTTACCCATCCCCCTAACCCCCCTCCCATCTGGCAGCCATCAAAATGTTCTCTGTATTTGTTTTGTTTGTTTGTTTATTTTGTTCTTCAGATTTCACATATAAGCGAAATCACATTGCATCTGTCTTTCTCTGTCTGACGTATTCCACTCAGCATAACACCCTTTAGGTCCATCCATGCCACTGCAGATGGCAAGAACACATTTCCTTCCCTGGCTGAGTAATATTCCACTGTATATATGTACCACCTACTCTTTATCCATTCTTCCATTGACAGACATCCAGGCTGCCTCCACATCTTGGCTATTGTAAATAATACTGCAGTGAACATATGGATACATATATCCC